GAGAGAGAGAGAGAGAGAGAGAGAGAGAGAGAGAGAGAGAGAGAGAGAAGAACAAAGAAAAATCATACATATCGTCGCGAGCGAAGTAACGTCCTTTAAAAGTATATAAATATATGTGTGTATGTATGTGTGTATACAGGTAGATACGAAGATCGACAAAGAGAGAGAGATTCAGGGCAAGGTAATGAGAGAACTTCCAGATGGAGGAGGACGACCGGTTGTTCTACTCAAATCGCTCTTGGCTTAAGGAGATCAACGAGCCGAATATTAATCAGCAAGAGGCGCGGCACCTGCATCCTTGGCCACGTTTGAAGTACGTAATACCGGCTGCCACCGCAGTAAACCATCGCACTCATACCGTTATCCGGAAGGTGTTTGTGCATTAGCCATCCGGCACGGCGACATAAATCGCCGCTTCCTCCTCCAACTTCGTATTTGGATGGCCCTGGCCGCGCGGGGGCCTTAGACTCGTCACGTTAAACCACTAGCACATGGAAAGTTCATCGAAGTCTTCCGCGTGTTATTTCTGTCCTTCGTCGTATCACATGCAAACAAGATGCAAATGAAGAGATAGATCTAGAAAATAAATTAATCGAGGAAATATGCGAGTAAGTCCTCCAAGATTATGCTCTTTCAACAGAGAGAAATCAATGATCGGTCACTTAAATGGCGTTACATCATACTGCAGAAATGTTAATAGGAAGTTAATGAATTCTTCGAAAAAAAAAAAAAAAAAAAAACAAAAAAGGGATTGAATTCTACGTTCGTTTTGAGCTTCGATTAGCTCGCATACAAATTGGCATCAAACTAGAAATACGACGAGAAATATGTTAAAATATATATATATAATATATATAATATATTATAATATATTATAATATATTATATATATTGTATTATATGTATATATATATTTTTATATATATATACATATAATGCAATATATATAATATATATTGTATTATATGTATAAATATATTATAAGTATATATATAATATATATATTGAGTATTATATTAAGTTTATATATACTTAATATATATATTAAGTATATATATAAGTTATATATATACTAAATATATGTAACATATATATTAAGTATATATGTTATATATATTAAGTATATGTTATTATATATATATTAAATATATATATAAGTTATATATATTAATATATATGTTATTATATATATCAAGTACATATATGTTATTATATATATATTAAGTACATATATGTTATTATATGTATATTAAGTATATATATAAGTTATATATATATTAAGTGTATATATAAGTTATATATATTAAGTATATATATATATGTTATATATATATTAAGTATATATATGTGTTATATATATATTAAGTATACATATGTTATATATATTAAGTATATATATGTGTTATATATATATTAAGTATATATGTGTTATATATATTAAGTATATATATATGTGTTATATATATTAAGTATATATATATGTTATATATATATTAAGTATATATATATTTATATATGTTGTTTTATATATATATATATTTATATATATATATAAGTTTTTTGGTAATTTTCTAAAAAAAAAAGGATGGATGATTTCGTCGCGAAATTTTCGTTATGATTTTACTTGACACGTTCCATTGGAACGAATGTTCACAGATAACTTTCATTCAACACGAGGAAAAATTAAAGCACCAATTGAAAAAAGAAAAAATTAAATTGAATAAAATGGTGAATAAAATGTTCACAAGTGGCGTAAAGAATTAATTATCCCAACTATCTAACTTATGTAACTTTTTCACCAAAATGCAACGTTTTATCTTTGTTTACTTGCAGTTACGCCAAGGTCGATCAACCTACGATATCTCGATAGACTTTTTCCTCACGGACACGAGCGTGAGCGTAGATGCCAACCAATACGTCAATGCGATTTATTCGAGAAACTGGATTAAACTAAGCGAGAAAGTTCCGTTGTCCGTCGAAAGTGTCCGAGAGGCATTAACATGCGCCTCTCTGCGCACTGATTGAAACCGTGTCTTCGGAAATTCCACGTTCAATTGGAATATCCCCTCCTCCCGTGTTCGTTTCTTCAAATCTGGGTATCACGAATATATCAAGCATAGTGTACATACAGAAATGACAAAACGTAATATATATATTTATATATATGTATCTGAGAAGCTGGTATTATATCACTATGTCCAAGAGAAATTCAGTGATAGTTTCTTTCAACCGGTTTCTTTCAAAATAAGAAGGCTCTCGCCTCGATTACAATCGAACTTCACCGCAAAGCGTATAAGCAGAGAAAAACAACGCCAGTGTAAGGCGAAATAATTGCAAAATTCTTGGGGCTTTCTTGCAGGGACTCTATGCATAACTTACTCCATAACTTCGGTTTAGATAGAGTTTAAGTTAGGTTTAGGTTAGATTTATACTAACTAATTTTACACTTTTGGTTTTGTACCAATTGCTTTCTCCAAAGTAAGTATCTGCTTTAAGTCTAAACTTAAACTTAAACTTCAGCTGTGCCTAAAGCAACTTTACTCTTTATGTCTAGTTTAAGTTTAGATCAGGTTTATACTAACTAATTTTATACTTTTGGTTTTGTACCAATTGCTTTCTTTAAAGTAACTATCTGCTTTAAACCTAAACTTAAACTTAAACTTCAGCTGTGCATAAAGCAACTTACTCTTTATATCTAGATTAAGTTTAGATCAGGTTTAACTAATTTTATACTTTTAGTTTTGTACCAACTGGTTTCTTTAAAGTAACTATCTGCTTTAAACTTAAACTTAAACTTAAACTTAAACTTAAACTTAAACTTAGCTGTGCTTAAAGCAACTTACTCTTTACGTTTAAGTTAGGTTTATACTAACTAATTTTATACTTTTGGTATTATACCAATTACTTTCTCCAAAGTAAGTATCTTTATGCTTTAAGTCTAAACTTTAATTTGGTTAACAAATGCCTGATTCCAGATTGTCCAAAAAGCTTCACACCAACTAAAGTAGCCAGCACAGTGACAAGCTTTGCGAGAACTGAGAATGTTGAACAGGGTGGCGTTCATCGGAGCTGGGTGTCACGATGAGTCACGTTGCTCGCAACCTTCGCCCCCCTTCCACCTATCCCCGTTATTTTATATCGAAAAATCACCTCGACCATACGATTATTGCTATTACTATTATCATCACGTTGCGATCGGTCAGTGTTCTGCACGTCGTACGCTGACTGTGTGCGAAAACAGTCGCACCTGCACGAATTCGTCGAATTTTGATGATCATGGCTAGATAGCAGCGTGACAAGAACAGTAGTAAATGGAACATGGATTGTTTTAGAAGTGGAATGTTTAATTTTTCTTACATCTTACATGTTTCTGTGAAATTATTTATATATCTA